AGTAGACTCAATTTGCACTATTTCTGGCAGTCTGCAAAGGCCCATAATGTCCAAAACATCTGGGGAAACAAAGTTTGGGAACCACTGACTTAGACTGTCATGCTTTGGACCAGGGACCGGCAACCTATGTTTTTGGCCGCACTCACTGCGGCTGCCATTTTGGAAGTCAAAATGACAGCCGCAACGCGTTTGTGCATGTGCAATACTCTTGTGCATGCGCAAACGCGTCACGACCGCAATTTGGATTTGGACATCGTGTGAAAACGCAAGGCACAAATCCAGTTTTTGTTTGGAATTTGTGTGGATTAACCAGCAGATTTGCCCCGTGTGATAACGTCCTTAGGGCATAGTGGTTTGAGTCTTGGGCTATGACTCTGGAGACCAGGGATGGATTTCCACCTCGGCCAGGAAACCCACTGGGTGAGCTTGGGCAAGCTGCATGCTCTCAACTTCAGGGGCCAAGCTAAACCAATCTTGCCAAGAAAACTCCATGATAAAACTCGGACATATGGCAACCTCAGAGTTGCCATATGTCTGAAACAACTTGAAGGCACACAACAACAATCTACAATGTAGAAAAAAATGCAATTTGACACCAGTTAAAGTGCTGTAGCTCCTTCCTATACAATCCTGAGATCTGTAGGTTTACCAGGTCTGTAACTTTCTCTACCACAGAACGTTGTTGTTGCTTGCCCTCCAGTGGAGCTCAGCTCATGCCAACCCAGTGGATGAGATATCTCCAAGACCACCTATCCTCCACTGCTCTGCTCAGGTCTCGCATGTGGTCTTCCTCTCTTTCTACAACCCTTCACCTTTCCTAGCATAGTCTTTTCTAGTGAGTCCTGTCTTTTCATGATGTGGCCAAAATATGACTGCCTCAGATTAGTCATCTTGGCTTCCAGGGAGAGTTCAGGCTTGATCTATTCTAGAACCTCTTTGATTGTCTTCTTGGCCATCCATGGTATCCTTAGCACTCTTTTCCAGCATCCCTATCTCTCTCATATCCATACATGGCAATGAGAAATACAATGTCTTGGACAATCCTCACTTTACTGCTCATAGTTTATATCTTTAGAGTTTAGGATCTTGTCCAGTTCACTTCCCAGTCCTAGCCTTCTTCTAATTTCTTGACTGCAGTGTTCATTCTGATCAATATTTGATCCAAGGTATGGGAGCTCTTTGTCTATTTCAGTTTCCTCATTATTTAGGATGAATTCTTATAGATCTTCCACGGTTATTATTTCTTAATGTTCAGCATTAAGCCTACTTTGGCACTTACCTTCTTGACCCTCTTCAGTAATTGCTTCAGATTTTTTTTCCTGCTAGTAGTATTGTGTCATCTGCATATTAGGTTGTTAATGTTCCTTTGTCCAGTCTTAACTCCTCCTCTGAGCCTAAACTTGCTCTGGGTACCATATTTTCTATATATACAAGGTATACTGTGTAGTCAATAAAGCACATGCAAATTTTCTTTTGGAATTTCCTGCTCTGCTCTGTTTTCTATGGTGCTGATGCCTCACAAAACTACAGATCCCGGGATTCTGTAGGATGCCAGTTAAAGTGGCATCTCAGGCAAGGAATACTCAAGAGCTGGGTTTGCCAGTTCTGTCCTCTGAAATATAGGTCCAACACACACTTTTGAGCTTGACTTAACTGCCCTGTCTCAGTGCTAGGAAATTCTGGGAACTGTAGTTTTGTGAGACATTTAGCCTTCTCTATTAGAGAGCTCTGGGCCCCCAGTAAAGTACAGCTCTCAGGATTTCATAGCACTGAACCAGAACAGTTAAAGCAGTCTCAAACTTGATTCTTTCTGCAGTGTGTCCTGGATTACAGCACCCAAGTCTCCCACCCAAGTACTAACCAGGGCTGGTCCTGCTTAACTTCCAAGATCAGAGGGGATCTGGGACCTTTCAGGTATTTGTTTGTTGTATGCTTTCAAGTTGTTTCTGGCTTCTGGCAATCTAGTTTAGGGCAAGCCTATCATGGGGTTTTCCTGGCAAGATTTGCTCAGAAGAGGTTCCCCATTGCCTTCCCCTGAGGCTGAGAGCATGGACTTGCAAAAGGTCACCCAGTGGGTTTCATGGCCAAGCAGGGAATTGAGCTCTGGCCCCCAGGGTCAAAGTCCAGTTCTCAAACTACTATACTATGTTGTCTCTGTTAGAGTATTTAGGCCATATTTAGGTCACCTGAATTAGAGTAGACCCATCATAATTTTTGATGGTGGCAGCTGCTGGCATTCAAGTCAGTGGGGTGGTAAGTTTGCTCCAAGTTATAGCTATCCATGGTCCTGAAATCCTAATACTTGAAGGATCCCCTATCCCTATAGCAGGGGTAGGCAACCTTTTTGAGCCCGGGGCTTGGTTGCTGTCCCAAGCCGAAGCACCAAAAATAAGCCGAAGCACCAAAAATAAATTTATTTTTTTAAAAAAATTATTTATTTATTTATTTATTGGGGGGCCGAAGCACCAAAAATAAATAAATAAATAAATAAATAAATATTTTTTTTAAAAAAAAATTAAAATTAAAAATATAGGTAGCCCCAGAAAAGCCATGGCAAAACCCCTGTGAAGATTTTGCCAAGAAAACCCCAAGAACAAGTAATAACAACAATAATCAATATCATCATGGCGGGTGGTGGCAGGGGGCAGTGGGGGGCAGTGGTGGCATACGGCCCCCAGGCCTTAGGTTGCCTATCCCTGCCCTATAGATACTTGGCCAAGGATTGAGGCCTGAAAGAGGCGGCCTCCTCCTTTATAAGCCAACATAATGGGAGAACATGGGAGAGCCTTTCTTGGCTGTTGCACCCCAATTGGCACCAACATTAATCTCATTCCAGCACCAAGGAAGACACGCTTTTTTAAAAAAATTAAAGACTTTGGGGCTCAATTTATTTAAATATGCATGTCCTGGTTTTTAATTGTGCTGGTCCAAGTTGTTTTAATGTGTCATATCTTCTTTTTTTATCTTCTTTGTGATATTTTGTTTTAATATGGAATTGTTTTACATTGCCCTGAAATCACAAATAAAGAACAAGATCTAAATATTTTAATAAATAAACAAACTATTCAGCACCATGAATAGCTCTTTTAAAGTTCAGACTCAAGTCTAATTCAGATTCACTGCCTCATTGATATGGAAGTCACCAGCTGAGTTTTCAGTGAGTCAATAGACTACGCTAGCTGGGATTCACAGTTGGATTTAAACTTTTGTTTTGTTGTGTTTCCATCAGAGTTAGTTATGCCTAACTATGCAAAGCCTATTGAAAATAAACACATACCTTAGCCACTTCATTTAACCATGCCTGACTGATCAAAGACTCAAAATGAGTTGAAAATTCTTTGTCAAGAAATGTCAAAATCTGTCATTAAAATTTAGCACGCAACTAACTGTGCACATATTTGTTCTGGTTGCAAAATGTGGAAGGCAGAGGAATAGCTTCCAAGTTGAATCAGCACAAATATTTTAAATAGGTTTTGGAAAAATACATTCAGGAACGGTTTAATAGGCCCAGATGAGTAAATGTGGGATCGCAGCCTTAGTAGTTAATTATAAGGCTTTCACTAGTGCAAAAGGGACCTGGTGAACTGGACATTTAAACTGCAACCTTTGTGTGGTAGCCCTACTGTACAGAGGGGCAAATCTGTCATTTTCCCACATTTGAATATTTCATATTCTGACATATTCTGGTATGGTGATCAAAAACAAACTGAAACAAATTTCCGACCCACTACACAAAACAGATAAATCCACACATACAAACATCAGGAAGCACATAATGATTTGCTGTTGTGCAATGCAATTTACTTATACTTACTGAAAGAACTGTCCACAGTAAATTATCATGGAGATCATTTTATCAGAAATGCCTGGACTATTATTTGAAAAGGTAATTGCAGGCTACATTGTAGTGTACAATTACTGAATGGTTATGTACTTTCTGACATTTATGTATGCATATTTATATGTCATTTTATAATATTTATGGGCTGT